AGAAATGGCTTTGATTCAGGCTGCAATCTCACCAACTTATAGCGCTATGGGTGGATGGTTTTGCAATTAATGGCAGGCTGAGACAAACATGCCAAAAAGTGTTGGAAATTGAAAGATGCTGAACTCAGATGTTGAACCCCTTTCCATGAGCCCGCGGCAAAGTGATTGCTGACCTTGTCTCTGCTGTGAGTGAGTAGCAATAAAGTATAAGTTACTGGGAAACTTATTTATCAGGAGTAACTTTCTATTTGAGGGCAAACACAGGGAATATAAAAGAGCCATTTACCACCACCATCCCCCAAACCCCCAACATCCTCTTTATTCCTTTGGCATCTTTTTTGACTTCCTTCCTTTTGACTTCAACTCTTACTTGTTCACCTAGACCCCTTAAAACAAAAGCATTGATTCAACATTTATTGGGCTTCTTTTGTCTGGCAGTCTTGTTAGAAACGGGAATGTTTTGGCTCGGGAAAAAAAAGTGCATCGCCGTTTGTTCCACTGAGTCCAGCTCTTGTTTGTGTTAATGTTCTAAAGCTTTTACTGGAGTAGCCCCGGGAGCTGAGCAGGGGTGGGGGAACAGTGTTGTAAAAGTTGTGAAAAGAGACTTTATGAGACAGTGTCATGGTTTGATAAAATGATTGAAATAATATGAAGCAGTGCCTTTGAAAGAATAAAAAGGTCATACAAGGACTGCAAAAGGGTATTTTCTTTTACATAGTGTTTATCTGAAAAGCCAGACAAGCTATTTTCTGTAATACATGTTTTAAAATGTCTGTAAACATTAGTTGCAGGCATGCAATATGTATGTGTGGCACCACCTTCTCCTGCAAAGGCTTTCAATCATGCTGCCTTCGCTATGTTACATTTGTGTAGAGCCAGAGGGCATATTCTCTGCCCTCACTTCATAACACAGGAACATTTTCCTCTGATTTCTGAAGCTTACCACCTTGTTGTGGATTCATAGTCAGAGGGGGCGCATACAAATCAGACAACTCAGACCTGCATATTGCAACATCCTCAAAAATCTATTTCTCTTATTGGCAGGACATTGATTCCCTGTGAATGGATGGGGAATCCAGGCGGGGACAGGAGATGACGCAGTGTGAGTTACCGCACACACACACACACACACACACACACACACACACACACACACACCAGAGAACTGGTTGTGTCTGCGAGCCATGTGGGCCCTGTCCATTACAGCACCATTAATCCCATACAATATGTCTGCTTAATGCTGTGTGCCATGAGGAGAGGCAACACTTATCATCTTTAACGTCTCCGGAAGGACATGGCTTGGGAGGAATGCTCCCAAAAAAAGGGATGGTGTAATCAGACTCTAATTTAAGAACATAATTTAAAGGGTCATTCCACCCGCATTATAAAAAAAACAAACATATTTTTTCTCTTACCTTCAGTGGTGTCTAGCCATGCAGATACTTTTGCTGTGTGTAGCTATAACAGTGCAGTTAGAGGCCAACACATTCTCACTCCCGATTCATCAGACAGTGACGCCTGGTCAAGGCCCTTTGGCCTCGCTTTTTAACGCCGTGGGTACCCCTTTTGTGTCATTTTTAGATGTTTAGGGCTGTGCAGTCAAGTTAGCAACACTTAACAACAACAACAACAACTATGCAACGTCCAGTAAAGTTAGCAACAATAAATATGCGGTTACACTTTCAAAATAAAATGCTAGCATTTTGAAATGGCACGTTATAAAAGTTGTGAAATGTTGCAGTTTGGTTAGGTTTAGGCACAAAAACTACCTGCTTAAGTTAGGAAAAGATCAGAAAGGTTTGGGTTAAAATAACTACGTACGTCAGTAGTAACTTACAGAATTTATGTAACTGCCTAACTTAAATGAAAATATTTAATGTTGCCTTTTTGTTTCACACAGGACACGAACCCCGCTCTCCTGGTTCAAAGTCAGGGTTCTGGCCCTCCATGACCCCAACCACCTCCTTACTCAGTCTTTTGTTTTACGTATCATATACCATCAAAAACTGACTCTACAGGGCTTCCCACACTGCGTTGAACTATGACGCTGTAGGGATCCCCAGTGCGCTACAAACTGACACCGATGGGTCTTGACCATGCGCCCATAAGTGACGAGTCAGGGAGTGAGGACGGGTTGCAGAGGCAGGAGACTGTACACTAGTTCCAGATCAAATGTAAATGCTCCATATTTGTAAAGCACCTTTCTAGTCTTTTCGACCACTCAAAGCGCTTTTACACTACATCGCATTCACCGTTCACACACATTCATTCACTGGTGGAACAGCCACCAGGGGCTGCCGACCAGGGGCTGCCGCCGACCTTCCAATTAACGGGCAACCCGCTCTACCTCCTGAGCCACAGCCGCCCCAAATCAAACCAAATATTAATATGATCAGGTAGCTTTTCTGCTCGGCCTTAAACTTATATTGTATATTAAAAAGGAGTTTAAATGAAGCTCAGCTTAAGTTAAACAGGAAGACTATCTTCATGCTTCATTCATTCACAACTCTCTCACATTCACTCACTCACTCTCTCTTCCTGCCTCTCTAATCACCTGATCTAGGAGTTCACCCATTAGCTCACCAGTCAGATTTTGCCGCAATCTCCATCAGCTAATCATGTAGTCACTGTCAAACTTTAAAATCTGTTCTCCTCTCTGCTGCTGTCAGCTGTCAGCTGTCTTCCAGTGCAAAACTGCGGCAGCCCTCCTCCACCCCGTGTACTCATCAGATCCAGGCCCAGTTCAAGCTCAGCAGAAGTCCACTCCTCATCACATCCAGATCAGCATTTTCTTCATCCCTTGATCATCAGTGTCTAGACTCCATCGGGTCGTTTTCTTTCCACTACGGCTTCATGGTAAATGGACTGTACTTATAAAGCACCTTTCACACACATTCACACAGCAGTTTGGGGTTCAGTATCTTGCCCAAGGAAACTTCAATTTGCGGGCTTGAGGAGTCGGGGGATTGAACCCCTGATCTTCTAAAGACTTTTCACATTTCTTCATATTCATTGTACACATGTCAATAACTTCTTAAAGTTCATGTAATGAAGTCCATCCTGATTGAAGTGTATTGTTGGCTGTCAACAACCAGAACCAAGAAATGACTGAAAATGACAATATACGCATGTCAACTAGGATATGATCCAACTTCTGCATGAAAGTCAGACGTGTTACACACCTGTCCACCTCCCTGACCTCCACACCTTTACTTTCTACCTCGCTATAAAAAGGGCACACTAATTCCTGCATTGGCAGGCACTGGACATTGGCACTCGATGTAAACTGTGAGCAGTGGAACTGTTATACTGTTTACTATTCTTGAGGATACTGGGCTGGGGAACAGATAAAGTTAATAATTTGACATGATAACTCATTAGCTGGAACTTATTGCTTGCAGTAACCTTCCCCGCCTATGTAGACAGGTAAAGCACCATGCACGACTCCCTAGACATTAAAAACTACAGGTTCAGCACCCTGGAGAGTGCCGAGATGTGCAGCACTGACGGGGATCTCTGAGATTTCTGTTGCCACCCCTAATTTCATAAAATTAATGAAATTTAATTTGTGGTGCTCGCTTTGGGTTTGGTTTTTGTGAACTGACCCTTTAAACACAGAAACAAAGCTGTTTTTGCCGATTTAATCATCATACTAACAAAACACCAACTACAAAAACAAACTCATTTGTATTTGCAAAAATGCAGAATGCATTTGTTTCAGTCATAACCTTGTTTTCATGTTATAAATTTAGTCCCCACCCATTAGATATGTTACAACTATAAACATGCAATTAAATGACCTCTTCATGATTCATGTGGAGATAAAAATGTGGGATTAGGTTGCTTTTCCCCAGGAAATAGTTAGACGCTCTGCCAACAGAGGGAGAAGGAACGTGGCAGAATGAGCAATACTGAGCTGTAATCACCGCAGATGGGTCATTATAAACATATGACCGTCTTCAAACCAATGTGTTAATATTGCCCACAGAACACTCGCTCCAAACACATGATGCAACATGTGTTAGAAGGAAACATTTATCTGAGCAGGTTTTAACAGTATGTCTGACATTCCAAATTCTATAATCCTTTTAGTCTTCCATCTTAATTTATTGTAGCCTATTGATATGTTTCTTTGTGGTAAAATGAATCACCTCTTGAGGCACAATCTGCCCATTTTATTCCCTCATGGCAACATCCTCTGCTGTGAAGGAGAAAGCAGCCAGCTGTTTTAGTAGGCAGTGACCATTTGTATATCCCTTTGTGCTACTAAGTGCTCATCAGCTCTCACCATAACCCCCGGTCATTAGACACAGAGAGCTGCAGGGTTGATATCAAAGAGATGAACTTCCAGTCTTGTTGTTTCCACCAGTTACACTCATTCCTGTCACCAGGAGACAGTCTGGCTGCTTGTTGGGACAAATTATACAGTTTAACATGATGTCGCTTTTTTGCAAAGCAGTTAAATATTCATGATTCAGTGCAGGCTGCATGTTTTGCCTTACATGTGTTTTCCAGCTTGCCCTCAGCTGCTCTGGCATGGGCTACACAAGAAACGCAAAGCTATCATATCATCCTGGAGGGATGCAAGACCAGTTGCAAAATACATGCAGATAGAGATGTGTTGTGTAAAAATCTCATGTTCCTATGTCCCCTGTTGAATTCTTTATTGCTCTTTAATAAGTAATAGAAGCTACCATCCCTGACACTGCACTTAATTGGAAACATGTTAATACTTGAGACCTAAAACGATTAAACAGGTGCATCATAGGTAAAATAATTCAGTTTCATTTGCAAAATTAAGAGATTTTCTTTCCCTGAAGGCAGGCTGGTAATAAAATCTGCATCAGGAGAAAAAAAACTACCAGGAATAGCTTCTCAGAAAACGTGGCTGTGAGGAGAAATAAAGAAGCGGCAGCCAGTAGAATAAAATGACTGTATTACTGGCTGCATTAATTATCGCCGACCATATGGTGGAAAATAACAAATATGGAGAAAGACAGTCCAACATTATCCTCCATCGCTCAGTCTGGATCCTCAGCTCCTCCCCCATGCGTGCGGGGCTTGATTTGATCAAATCCTTCAACTTGGACCACTTAGGCTCAGCCGCACTTTTTACAACACTGCATTTGGGCAACGCCACAACTTGCGCAGCACTTCATCTTCAACAGCCGAGCGGAATTTCACACCCCGAAAAGGCAGCGAGAGGAGTGGGGGGAAAAGACTTCCAGCATCCACAGCATCCTTCTCTATCTCAGAAATGGAGAGGGAGGTCATATTTTGCCCAAAGTGGCATGGTGCGCTTTGGTTTTTGCTTTTGATGATGCTCTGTTCCTTTCATGCCGCCAATGCTGAGATAACTTGCAGGTCATGCCAGCCTGGAAATAAGTGGCGTGCACAGCAGTTACTGCTGAAATTCGACACAAGTCAATCCGCAACAGGATTAAAGGAAGAAGTTTTGGGACATGGGGATGGGGCAGGGAGATCCGGTGCTGCAAGTGCTGAAAGTCGGCGGCTCCGTTGCGTAGCTGGGTCTGCTGAATGCGCTCCGGATCGGACGGAATACAAAGAGCCAAGGCTGAAACGGAATACAGACAAGATGCACACAAAAGGCGAAATTGGTGAGAGCGAGTTTGCAAACATGAAAGTTTCTCATGTTAATATGAGTGGTCAGCAGAAGGCCAGTGGTGGTGCAGGTTTTACCTCTGCCACCCGCTACAGAAAGCGCGCCAGAAGGGACAGTGATGATAATAAAGCCAGATCCCCCGGTTCAACCCAGAGTCAAGAACCGGGAGAGAGCAGGAGCTCAGCGGCCGGACGCAGAGTGCCGCGCTCTGAATTGCGCTGGAGCGGAGAGGAGCGGAGAGCCGCCGGTCAGAGGCAGGAGGAACTAAAACTTAACAGTTCAACGTTCGCCTTGACCGGGGATTCATCTCACAACCAGGCTATGGTGCACTGGTCCGGGCAGAACAGCAGTGTAAGTGATTTATTATGTCCACTTTAAGCATCACCGGCCGTATGCGCGAGGAGAGAAATGTGCGCTTGGGAACCAAATCTCTGTCGGCCGTTTAAAATGAGTGTGTCGGTCCCTCTGTGTGTGTACGTGTGTGAGAGAGAAAGGGAGAGTCCAAAAGAGAGGCATCCTTCTTTAATTAGTCACCCCCAAGTTATGAAATTAAACTGCTGCAGACTTGTGTCTGAATTAATGACAACACGTGATAACACTTTCAGTATAATAATGAATTTTAGTATTAAGACAATCACACGCTACTGATTGTATTCTATAATTTCAGCTGATGTTATTTAAACCACAATATTTTGATCACAAATTAAAAGTAAGCCTAAAAATTCATGCACTATTGGTCCGGTGATGGCTTTTAAGTTGTAGAGAGAGAGCATCACCTCAAGTAGAGGAGGAAGAGTAAAAGAGAGAGAGAGTGAGAGAATGGGCTTTATCTTAGTAGCTTCTTCAGTCTGAACAGCTAAACTGATGTAAGGTAAAAACTGCTCCTGTTGAGCAGGGAGTATCTCTGACCAGAGGGCAGGATTTTCAAGTAGCTATAGGTTGTGGGAGAGGTTAAGCAATTTCAACCCTCCACCTTCCTTTTCTGAAGCCAGGTTTCCTGGTCACAGCCTTCAGCGCCTGCGAACTTTGGGGCTTCAGTGGCCTCTCTGCTTAGCCTCATTGATCACTGGCATTTCATCCTTTCATAATGACAGGAATGAGATTATCAGGGCTTTGTAATCAGGCTTTATCAGTGTGGCAGGTCATGGAAGGAGTAAATCCTAAGGAAGGGAGGATGTTTACAGGTGCTCCATACTGTAGAGCAGGTTATATGTTGTTCACTTATTTGCTCTGTATTTGGGAGGGAGCAGCAGGAGCTGCACTAGGCCTAAGTGTCCAATCTCAATTTATTTTTGGTACCCCTTTTGTATATAGCCTAACTGTGTAGAAATAGTCATGTACAAAATGTGGACAGATTTATATCTTTTGTCAGCATCTCAAATCAAAAAGGTTTAAGAATGTTTTTCTTTTAACACACACACACACACACACACACACACACATAGAATAAAAATAATGAATATGTAATAAAAGACCAATCAATACTTGACTATCATTTCAGCTCTAAAATATTTGGTTTGGTTTGGTAACAATTCTGAAACTTGTTTGGCAAGTATGGCAAATTTTCAAATGATGCAGACTTACGCTGCACATGAATGACCAAGGCTCTCTCCTTAACCGATGTCCACAGTACAAAAAAGTGAGCATTTCGTAATTGTGTGGGTGTTTCCACATCCCTGTCCAGTTGATGGACTCACCTGAGTTCAGCTCCCTTCTGTCGCACCTCTAAAGCGGGGTCACAAGTTATGGAATTTATTCAAATGTCCTCCAGTTTTGTGTAAATAAAACACAACATGGGAGAGAATGAGTCAGAGTAAGTGGCGTTTGAGTCCAAACAGTGATGTCAAAGTATGTCATAATGCCCTTTTTAGAAGAACCACTTGAATGTTGCAGAAGTCTCTGCTTGAGTCCCTGAGCAGCCTCTCTCCTTGGAGCATTGATATGTAGTGTATCTACATTTATATTGTAGCCCACAGTGCTAGAGGACTTGTCACTCTGCAGTGTCATCCATGGCGCAGCACATTTTCATTATTTGTTTACTAGCTGCCTTTTATGCATCATTTTGTTCATTCTTTAGAGAAAACTAATACTAGTAGAAAAAGAGAAAGAAGCGTTGTCTTGTGCTGAATCTGAGCATCAATCAGAACCTATACAAACATGCTTTCTGTTGTATCCCCAGTGATAATCTTAGCCTAAATGCAATTTTAGATTATTGCTTTAAACTTTAATTAACATGGGAAGAAGAAAGTCTTTGGGCAGCTTAACCAGAAAAGCATTGGAGCACAGTTCAAATGTATTCATTTGCTGCAAGGACTGATATCTCGACACGACTGCTTCTTCTTCAGAGTCGAAATATAATTAGCATGGACTGAGAATCGAAGGCAATAAAATGTAGAAATCGTCTTTTTATCCCACAAAATCTGCCGTCCTTGAAAAAAAAAAAAAAAAAAAAAAAGCAAGCATTTGTCCTCAAACAGGGCTTTCCATGATTCAGTGTCCTGACTGTTCCACAACTACACGGCTCGGTGTTACACCCACACCACTTAGCCTTGTCTGTAACAAAACCAATTACAGTCAAACACGTATCACCAGCTCCCATGCCCTCCACTCCGCTCCTGACTGAAATTCCATCCTGTGCCTCAGGTGTTTCTGTGGGATTGACAGACATCTGTAGCTCATGGCAAAAAGTGACCTTACAGTGGAGGCATGTCAAAACAGAGGATCTTTACATTTTTCATGGTTATTTTTGTTTTGAAAACAAAGCAGGCATTACTATTTAGAAGCCCTGTTTTGATTTTTTGATATCCATAGATGCTGCTTGTGTGACTATGAAAGAATTTACCCCTATTCTTTCAGTTGATGTGAACAAGTTACTCCAGTTGTGCGAGAATAGAGGATCTCGCATTAAATATGTAGAGTTGTAAAAATAAATGTGTTTACATTCCCTTCAGCTCTAAGCGTTCTGATTTCAAGCTTTACTTTGGAGCAAGTTTTCACTCAAAGTCCATGATCTGATCATGATCCAAGTTAGGGCTGCATGATGTTTCTTGTTTAATTGACAAGAAGCACCTTCAGTGAAGACAAGGCTCACATGACTTCATTTGTTGCTATTTTGTTCAAAATTGAGTGTAATGGGAACTGACTGACATGTGGAAATTTCTTTATCAATGTAAGATCATTGAAGCCAGTAGATGATCCTGACTAAGTTTTGGGACGACTGGCCAAGCATTTTCTGACGAGATGTCGACAAGAGGATTTTGAAAACTTTGACATTTTCAATGCGGAAGGCCAGATACAGGGGAGATACAGGGGAGATACAGGGGAGATACGTGGGAGGCGTTTGCCCTAGGGGATTGCTGCCAGAACGCCTTTCAGCCAGGGGGGTCTTAAAGCTGGGAGCCCTCTCCAAGATGCTGTGTTTTTGTTCATTTTACTCTCTTTGTGTTTTACAAGGTGTATAATATAGTTTTATGGCTTTTAGTTGGTTTTATTCTCAATTTGGTTTAAATATAGGAAAGGTGCTATATAAATGGAGTAAAAAGATGTATAAAATAAAAGTGTATTATTATTTATCATACAGATGACTTGAGAGATTAAAATGATGAAATTTTTACTTTAGGCCATGCCGTTTCTGAGATAATTGTGAAAACATAAACTTTATTACACCTTGAGTTCAGTGAGTGTCGTTATACCTGTACCTAAGTAGTCGATAGAATTTGCAACTCACCTGCCAAAACCTTTCACCGAGAAAAATAATAAGAATACTATAAGTGGCAATAAGAACTTTATACAGAGTCACAATTGGCAACACCACCTTAATAAGCTCTTCAAGACACACCCATAGACTGTATAAAGAAGTGTACGTAGCCAGGTGATGTCACCCGCTGGTTTGTGGACTATCGTTTTGAAGGCTCAAGTTTGGCGTATTGGCTGTTGCCATCTTCATCTTGTTTTTTTTGGAACAAGAAGTGACCATATTTGGATGAAAGGGTGGAGCTAGATGCTGTAAAATTACAGATATCTTCATGTGACACTTGGCTGTTTTTAACTATTTTGCATATTAGTTTTTTTTAAGTGAAAGATATGGTACAGCCATAAACCGCTGTAACAAAAAATATTTGTTAATGGGACGTAACAATATTTTAAAACTCTTACAGTATTGGTGGTCTGTTGTGAATGGAGGGAATGTGGAGATTAGCCCGGACTGATGTTGGATACCTGGCCTGATTTATTATCCAAATCCGGCCCTAATTGACAGATTAAAAAGAGGAACGAATTTTGACTCTAAGCCAAGCTGTTTCTGAGATAATTGCAAAAATGTAAACTAGATTGCTACAGCGCCACCTTGAGGTCAGTAAGTGTAGTCTGCTTATGTGCCTGAGTAGGGGGCGGAATTTGCAAATTTTGGTGACTTTTTGCTGCATTAACACTTCTAGCAGTGAAAAACAAGATGAAGAATGAGATAAATATAACAATTTGCAGGCTTCACTGCTTGGACCCCTAAAAATACAAATACACTATTGCTCTGTTTAACACAATCAAAATCTAATAAATCTGTATTTATTAGATATATATATATATATTCACAAACTACAGGCTAAATTGAGTCCCCATTTGTAGAATTATAAGTGAAATATTAGACAATCCTTGTGAAAATGAGTGCAGTTTATGTGTCAATTTGAGCCTCCATTCTCAGTGTCTACATGTGGGATTCGTTGTCTGCCACCCTCTCTTTTTGATACTACCACTGATGAGTGCCAAAGCTGAACATTTTATATTCATGTTGCTTTAATTAACCCAGTACTGAAACATGTGACAGCACTATGCAATTCTCACCCTGTGCTAACATGTCATTGGTGTTCTGAAAAAGTTACTGAACTCAGTAATTCGATCTCTAATCATTGGACTGGTCCAGAAAACAAAGGCTCATCGGAACCTCCAGAAGAACCGCTGAAACATTTGGATACTGCTTTTTCATCTTTTACATCACCATGTCAGAACTGCACTCACACCAGTGTTACCTACCTTTTGCCATTTATAATTATGGAGAGAGAGAAACACAACTGATCAAACAAATCCCTGCTGGGTTCCTGTTACTGGCAGAGCGGCACTGAGATTTAAAAAAAAAAAAAAAAAGAAGGTGACAGGCAAATAGCAGTCTCACCGTGGGGCCTGTGGCATATTGCTCAGATAGATGTACAACATGCACCAGGACAGTATTATTTACATTATGAAATGTCAGACATTGAGTACTGTACTTTGCTCTGTCACTCAGATGGATTAAGGCTGACATATTAAGTTGAGCTTTGATGTTTCCAGAGACGGAGGACATGTCCTGCTGGAACATGTCC